CACTGAAAGATTTCGTGGGAAAGTTTCCACTTCCACAGACAGTCACCTTTCAAGAAGGATATTTTGACGAATACCAGAGTAAAACTATCGGTGCTGGCACTGAGTGTAATTTGTTATCTTTAGAAAGTGTCGAAACGGCAATATTTGAAGATAAAGATGGCGAAGACATTCACATCCCGCTTCAGGATCCATTTGGCGTGGAGCGCGTCGCAGAGGCTACATTCGAACAAAATCTCACCCTTGCAGACCTGATCCTAGAGAGTTCCATGGTAAAGTTTGTTCGTGTCGTCGAGACTGATCCAAACTTCGAAAGTATCATCAGGCAAGGGGACAAGCTGAGGATAGAGAGGAAAAATTCTCGTGAGACCTTTCTGGCCTTCAAAATTGTCAGTGATAAGGGAAAACCTCTAATTAAAGTCCCTGCTAGTTGTCAAGCAAAATTTCTACCACTTTGGAACGGCGAGGAGTTGCCTCTTAGCAAGTTTGTGAAGAAGTACAAGCTTCCTGTCTATGTGGTGATGAATTTTATCGACTATAGTACGGACAAGAATTTAAATAAGGGACAAGGAAACCCCAGAGAGAGGCCAACAACAAGAATAGTTAAGAGCCTACGTCATCTGTCCAATAGCGTTCTTAAATTAAAGGGAATTTTAGCAGATTCTATTGTGCTAGCTTCAATGGAGGTGGATGGTATACCTTCAAAGTTTTCATTTCCCAAAACTCTACCAATTAATGTTGCGCCTTTGAGAATGGAATCTAAAACTGGAGCACCAGGTAACAAACTAGATTTCATATCGAGCGAAAGGAACGAAACTGGAAATTACGACAGTGAATTGATCGCAGTAGAGGAGAACGAGTACGAAGATATGTCTGGCTTCAGAGATCCACAAGGATCGTCTCAATCAAAAATGAGAGTTGGATTTGAAAATAACAATAAATGTGGTGATGAAGCGAGGAAAATCACGCAGTTAGCGGGGCTGGGTGCACGCCACAACACATACTCCCCAGCGCCCTCCAAAAGAGTAATTAGAAGCCAAAGCGAGAGGCTACCAAGAAAAGGAAACTGGACATTTTCAAGAATTGTTAGCAATTTGGAACTACCAAGCGAAGACAACCTTTATGACGAGTTAAAGTTTCGTACACTGCCTCAAAAAGTGAAAAAACATCCGCCGTCATTGACAAGAAGAGCAAGTGACTGGAACATTGAGCGAGTATCGAAACAGAATTTAAATAACCTATTACACTTGCAGGCTCAAAGCGGGGAAGATCATGGCTTTCAAGGTCACGTCGAAGTGGTTTCGTTACAGATTCCGAAACTTTCGCCTACCTATAAGACATGCCCAAGGATGAAAACATTTGGAAGGAAAACAAAAAGCAATGAAACTGAAAGTAGCCCTTATGACGTCCAAGAATTAAATTTTGACAGCCATGCTAGCAAGTCATTGAACATGAATCATTTGCCAGCGAGGTTAACTTCAACGACTTCGAAAGCGCCCTTTTATGAATCCGAGGAGATGGAGTATGATGCTCCTTCAAACCTAAACCTTTCAAATCACTCAGAAGGAAAACGAGGAAGTGACGATGCACTCCCATCCCTTCCTTCTTCACAAAGAAGTTGTGGAGAGGGATTTCATCTCTCCTCTCGTGATCCTCTTTTGAAAGAGAGAGAAGATCCAAAAGGAAGACATTACGTCCTTGACACCAAGATCCCATTCGTTGGCACCAGTCTAAAGAAAATTATTCCACCAGAACCTCCTGAAAAGGATGACTTTTACGAAAATGTAAAGATGCAAACGAAATCAGTTGTCGGTCCCACAAGAGGGCGTGAAGCAGTAACGAACAAAAAGGAGGTTGGCGTCGAGGTGTCAAAAGTCAATGCAAGTAAAATTGATTCCAAAACCGAGCCCTTGGAGAGAAGGGACAACTGCTCTATTAGAAGAGATGAACCAAAATCAGCTACAGGTCCGACAGGTCTACTAGAACCAGAAAGTATCGAAAAGGAGAAGGAATCACCACCCATTCCCCCACGGCTGAAGCACATTGAAGAACCTCTGTACTCCTCAGTACTTAAGAAAGGAAATCCATCACAAGATAAGATCAGCGATTTGCATTCTGATCCATTACCCAGGGGAAGACCTCAACCTTCTCCTAGACGGCCTCGAGATGGTAGCAACCTCTCTCCAACGGATTCGATGAAAGCTAAGAGCACTTCAGGCGTCCATTCTGATTCAGTAACACCTTCACTTGAAAAGAAACCAAAGACGGCTGTCAATGATGACCGAAACTCAGACTTTGTCATTCCACAAGACCTAAGTGCTCTGAGTGTCACTGATGTGTTGAAGTGTCTAAACGCTTTGAATATGAAGAAATTTGAGGATATTTTCAGTGAACGCCAAGTCGATGGAAACATGCTCGTCTGCTTGGATGAAGAAGCCATGGAGTCGATTGGAATAGATCGCTTCCATCGTTTGAAACTCCTCAAATTCGTTGCAGGTTGGAGACCACAGCTACACTGATCGGACCACATTGCATCATGAATTGACTTATTTAAAACCTTCGCCGCTGATGCAAACTTCAAGTTTTGAAAACTCACACATTTTATTGCCCTAACGAAATGCGTAGAGTAGATATTTCTGTTGGAAATCTGTCGGGTTATCTCCGTTAAATGGCCACAAACAGCAACTTGACCCCATACCGGTTATGACGTTTTTGCTCAGAGCGTATAGTTAATTCTTGCCAACCGATGTATAAAACGTAGTTACTGCGCAGTGGCTCAAGGATCCAGCTGAAGGTTAAAGATCCTTTCATAACAGGCCAGCGAATTGCCAGCCTTATCAAATGTGATATGGCTTTGGAGCTAAGAAAAAAAAACCAACCTTATAAAATGGCCAAAAAAGATAAAAAATTGTGAGAAAACATATAGAAATGAAATGCTGTGTGATCAATATCCTTGAGCATGTGCACATGAGAATTTTTCTTGGTGCCTCTTGATGATTGGAGCAATCTTTCCGATTCAAAGCTGGATCGCGTGATTCATTTGAGCCAAATCATAATTAGCATGAATATTCTACTTGTACGCCAACAGCAAGAATTGGACGCTTACAATTTTCTCAGTGCTTGTAAAGGGCAAAATTCGTGCATTTTGACCTGCATATTTTATGGGCTGCCCCTAATTGAAGAGCCATTTGTTATGGTTGACTTTTGACATGAATTACTCAATCATCTCAAAGAACAATAATCGACTGTAAGTGATATTTATTTGTGCAGTAAATTTCATCTCATTCATAACTTAATATAAAATTGATATAAGGTTAGTTTGGTAAACATCTCTCGAGAAGTTTACCTTTATAATCATGTTACACGGCGTCCAAAAAACGACATAGCTTCAACTATGAATGAAATGATAACGACGATTTAAATCTCATTCAAAGTGCTTTTTAAAATAATAAATTTTGCCGCAGGGAAGGATTTGAGAATCATCTATGCGTCAGCCACTTGAGCTCGAATGCTTAGGGCAGTTGATTGCACTGCAAAAATTCGCCACTCTTCCGATGGCAAACCCCGTGCAACAGGCCTTAAAATCCGCCGTTCTAAGAGAGGTTTAGCGTCAGCTGATCTGTCTTGAGTAAAATGCAGAAAGAATGCGGAGCCTGGAAACATGTAGCAGACCCCTCCCTCCCCCCTCCCCACGCTAAGTATAGTATTTCCAAGCTACCCCTTGCCTAAGGAACTCTACTGGATAATCAGAGTGAAGTGATTACTTGATTTGAAAACAGTTAAACCAACCGATTACGCAATCAACAGCAATTAAACTTTGATTAAGGTCATAGTGTGTCTTTGAAAGATCTAGGTTGTTAAGTTGACAATGCGAAAGATTATGTTTGTCTGGCAAGAAAGCCTTTCGACGGTTGATGAAAGTTGATTAAAGGAAATTCAGAGAGCCGAATAAAGGTTTTTACTCGGTTTGACAACTGTTTATTTGACCTTTGAGGCATTCAGCAGCGTTTCAGCTTGGAATGAGATCCCAGTATTCCTTGTTGTTTTGAAAGGTCTAAGTTTAATTGCTGAATTGACAGATCATTTTTGCTGAGACCGAAGGCAATCCATAGGGCCAAATAAAGTTGTCAAGGCTGAGACAGCACCGATGTTCATCGAAAATTCTAGACTATAGCTTATATTAACGCGTGCCTACTGTTGTTTTGAAAATTGTCATCTTTCAATTGTCTTGATCATGACCTCAATACAAAAAAAGCCAGCGACTTTTGTTAAAAACGGTCTGGTAAACATTTGCTTATCGAATCACATCTTATGCGCACTGCGTTTTCTCTCACACAATTATATCGAACGATCTACAACAGTGCATTCGCAAACATATCTTGATGGTGTGTACAACAGATTACTAGCCTGATAACTTGACCATATTTCACCTTTATTGAGTTCCATTTGGGGGAAATAGTATTCTTAAGTTCTTCGTATCTCTCAAATAATGCTTTGTACAAACAATTCGGTCAGGAAGGAGCGACTCGACTATTTGAAACGTTTATCAAAAGTTTTAAACAAAAATAATACGTCTACAGCGTAAGACGAATACAGTTTTATCCATGTAAAAAGTCACGATACCCATTTAGGATTTTCGAGACTAAAAAAAAGAATTAAGTCAAAAGTTTGTTTACTAGCTATTTCCGGTTCAGAACTCGTCTTCCTGATCGTAGAAATAAGCCTTGGCATGTTAGGTTTTTCTCGATCCACAAACTCGAGATAAAAAGAAAGCAGAGCAAAGAAACGAAGCAAGGAATTACTTCCTGGGTCTGATATGGTTTTAGGTCGGCCCCCTCGCCTCGCCCTCTATCAAATACAAAAGATCTCGAAAAGTAACTGCTTGAAATAGTAGAAAACTGTATTCACGGTGGTTGTGGCTTTTTTCGACTTTTTGCTTCATCGCTAGGAAAATCGAAAGATTAGCGGCTGAATAATAGATTTTCAATCTTATGGCTCACCTGTCTCGATGAAGCCCCCGAGCCGGCATTTTTAATGCAACTGTCGAAAATGCTTTAACTCTGTTAAAGAACTTTTCCCTCTTATTTACATTTGTAGTTTTTGTATTTTCCCAAAGAGACAATAACAAGCGAACTTGAGTAATTTTTGCATCCAGTTTTGATCAAGTCTGCGTCACATGTTTAAAGACAATGCCCTAGAATTTGATTTTAGTTCTAATTACTTCGTCAATTTCAGGCATTCGTGACTATCTTCCTCAAGAGGTTTTAGGAATCCAACCGTCTCGGATAAATTTGGTGAGCTTTCTTCGATGCAATGCATTGGAGATCCCAAGATCTTTCATCATTTCTTCATCCACATCTAGCAAAAGTTTTCCGTCGACTGATTCTTGTTCAAAAGTCTCAACGTACTGGCCCAAACCTAGCTTGGTTAGCCATTCACAGACTTCGTTCACCGTGAGCTCATTCCGAAGTTCTTGGCTCAATGTATCTCGAGCTCCACCATTATCTCTTGGGTTCCTGACACTGGAAACTGTTCTGGAAGGGGTGAAATCAACTGATGATTCCGCCTTGTGCGAAGTCGACTTGGTAGGGGTGGTCGGTGCACTTTTCTCATTATTTAGTCCAGCGGACGCCACAGTTGGTGAAACAGGGTGGTGAGAGCTTGGAGGCTGTACCTCTCCAATTTTTAAAGCAGGTTTTACCGTAGGCTTTTTGGCAAGTTGCGGTTTGGAAGAAGAAGCAGACTGACCAGGGGAAAGATATGTTGGGGGCCGTTCCTCCTTGCTGAGAGGTCTCTTATTTTGAGTCACATTTGGCCTTATGGCAACTGGAGGTAAAACCAGGTTCAGGCTCTTCTTTTGATCCTCAGGATATGCTTTTGTAGATTTGGACTTGTTGAATGAAAGGCATTCATAATTATCATCGTATAGAGCCTCTTCCTCTTCATTGTTTAGGACTAAAGATTTCCCTTGCGATGGTTTTGCTTTGGGTGGCTTCTTGGCGACTGGAGGGGCAGCCGATCCAACGGCTGCCTTGTTGACAAAAGGCTTGGGTGGTGCTGTATATCGATCCTCAAATTGTGATTTGTCCACCGTTGTTTTTTGACCTGAAATTGTCTTTGTTGGTGTTCGTGATGGAACAGGAGGAGCTATTTCGTCATAAGTTTCATCATCCGACGATACACTACAGGTTTCAACGCACTGACCGATCTCAAAAAGCCATGATGCATCTTCGTCTCGGCCTGTGATTACTGACTCAATATTTATTTTGTTGTCGATCAGCTGACAAATTTCAGCGAGCACCTTTGGATCTATGTTTGACTCGATTCGTCTGACTAGAACTTCCAAGCTAATTGGAATTGTCAAGACATTCAAATGCTTTCCGATTAAGGTGTAAGCTATTAAAACCTTTTCCTTTACTATCTCCTTGATAACAATCGTAAGGCTCTTCTCGATGCGCTTTTCTCCGATAAACTTCCCGATGGAACCTGCACGAACACGCACTCGAGTTGGCAGAATATGTCGATCTGTGACGTCTCTTAAAGAAGAAGGATGAACTTCCTCAAGGGTCTCGAAATGTCCTCGCTGTTCACAAGAGAGGAATATCGGCCTTTTTGTCCCAACCACCTTGCATTTAAGTTCCGTGCGGCCTTGACTACTTGGTGAAGCTTCTTGAAGCGAAAGTATGTCGCCGGCGTTGATGTTACTTTGAGGTATATTGTAGAGCGAGCGAACATATTTCGGAAAGTCGTCAATAAGGTCTTGGACGGTTTCATACTCGTGGTTGCATCTGTTTGGAATACTTTCAAATATTTTGTCAGGATAATTTAGGGGAATCTTGTAGAAATTCCCCTTCTGATCGCGAGCAAGTGCTTGAGGTAGATCTTTCATGGCGTGAAGGTGCACAATTTCGCCTTGAGACCACGATCGTTGGATTGAATTGTTTGATTCATATCCTTCCACGATTTCAGCTGTTTCAGGAAGATGACATTCTGTTAGAAACTCGCAGAGAAACAAGCCATCGAAGTCGTTGTTATTTTGACTCCACGGCATCTCGAGACTCCTCTTCATCAACAACACTTCTTCTAACTAACAATCCTGCGATATTTAGCATACTGTTTCAACCTTCTTACAGTGATCCCGTGACACTGACTCTATTTTTATTGTTATTAGTTTTGAGGAGGGGGGGGGCATAGTTTGCTTCCTCTCTATCAAATGTAGTTATCAGACATCAGTTCCGTGATGATAAAAGTTTCTAACAGCTCAACAAGATTGTTTAAAACTAAAATTGAGATACGTTTGAAAACTCAAAAATTATAACTAAAACAAAGGGCGCCTCAAAACTATGCGAAGTTTCGATATTTCCGCTATCATAAACCTCCCCCAGAAAATTCCTTCGCTAAGAAGAGACAGCGCTGGCAGTTAACCAATGAACCATAACTCACGTTTAGATAATCTCATGTCGTGGATGCTAAGCTGAGACAAGCAAACAATTAAACCGAATGATTAACGTCTACGTTTGGCAGTTTGGAAACAAATTTTTTAGCGTATTTCAGCTTTTCCACCTCAGTTTAACGATCCTGAAACTGATAGAGCACATGGTTCATGCGTCGCTCTAACTACTGCTTAGATTACCTTATGCGATGTGTAAATAGGAGGTGCTATACTCATTTGCTAATTAATATACTATCATCCAGTAGAGTGGATTTACATCTCGTCAATAATAGATCAGTAGATACCGTTTTCTAGCTATCAATTTGATAATAATTCAACGCGCTTGCGTGACAAACCAAGCTTGAATTTTCAAGATCGTTTTCATTTAAATCAATCCTTCATACCCAGAAGCTTCTAGATTACAGACTCGAACCAAGGAAAGAGTTTTGTGCTTTTATAACGGTAACCCTTCCCCCCTCCCCTTCCCCCCCTCTGATGTAATAATCTTCATTGCCTTTTTCCTTTCGTCTAAGTACAGAACTTGACAAAGAAGTGGGTTTCATTTAGAGCCACAAACACAGACGTGACACGAACATGAGCGTGAACGACAAACACCTCGTGACATTTTTTTGGCATGATTTCAAAGAAATAATTAGCATAAATAGCATACTCAATGAAGGCGTTTGATAGTTAGTCGTCCTGCCGTGCCACGATCGCAACAAGGAGCCTAACCCTTAACATAAAAACCATAAGGAAGTTTGCCTATCTTTCGTGTTCATTTTGCGTACCGATTTTGTGGCAGCGGAAAGCGTCGTATGTCAGAGGCGGGTATAACTCTCCTATGGATCTTTCTGTTTCTGTGGCAATGGTTTAAATCAGGAACCCTGCAGTCTGCTCCTGTCCATGATGTTCAGCCATATCGTCTGGAGTGACAAATCTTGTACTCTCAAAGAATTTGTCGACGAATACCCGCTTCCGCAACTAATCAAAGTCGAAAGCGGGGTCTACAATGACGACGAGGCGAGAACGCTATCAGCAGAGCAGATTCTCACCCTACATATCACCAAACGGAGCGACAAGGTGTTAGTTAGGGCTGCCGAAAACAAACAGTATTTCCTACCGGTAACATGTCCACATAAAGTTGAGATTCTTCCTAAATTTTGTCAAGACAAATATTACAGTGTGGAAGATATTACCAGCTCTTTTACAGCCCCAGATTTTAAATTTATTCGTGTGGTACATAACGGTCCGCCTTCGCTTCGAATACGAGCTGGGGACATATTAAAACTCAAGAAAACTGAAGAGGAAAATCGGGTTAAGTATCTTGAATGTGAGTTTTATAATAAGACTCAAGACTCTGTAATGCTTCCATTAGAATTCAAAGCTGCCTTCGAGCCCTTAGCCAGCCCAGAAGAGTATCATTTGCAAGAAGTTCTGAGTTCGTTTACACTTCCTGTTCGCGTGAAGTTTACCTCCAGTGACACTATAATACAAGATGCTGCGAACACTAACATTGAATTGCAATCGCTCGGTTCGGTTCTCTTAAAAGAAATTCGAGAGGAAATTACAGTTATTGCTACAAGTCGTGACGACGAAACTGTCACCGTTTTAATGATTCCTTCTGATTTGGATGTGAAAGTGAATCCTGCTCTCGGGGCCGTAAAAGGTGATTCAACGTACGCAAGATTCTGTAAAGAAATCCACGATGGAACAGAACTTTCCAAAATCGACCTTTTGAATAGTTCGAAATTGCTAGAATATTCTGAGGAACCTACCGTTGATGTTGTCTATGATTATGTTGAGATAGGTCCACCACTTCCTCCTCGGTCAGACTCCAAACGAAATGAACCGACAGATTCCGATGAAGATTATGAAGATGTAGACCTACCTCCCCCCAGACCACCAAAACCATCTTCTAAACCAAACCTGAGATCAGCCCATCAAAACGAGAAAACCGATGGTGTTTTCCCTTCCATGTGCTCCAGATCTTACAGTTCTGAGAAACCATTATCTTTTAATGAAGATGGTGACGATGACAGTGAGGATGACGATGGCGAGTATGAAGATTTTGACCCGGTCTTTGGGAGCTCAGATGACGAAGAGGATGTCTATTCACAGACAGATCTACCAGGGGCAGAAACGCCTAGTGACAGAGGAAAAGAAAAACGTAGTGCCCTTGAAGAACCTGAAAAACTTAATCTCAAGACACGAGTTTCAGCCATTCTCAAGAAGGCCATTGCCAAGTCACCTACGTCTCCACCCGCCTCCCGATTGCCCTCTGCCACTTATGCCAACATCCCAACCCAAAGGCTGCGTCCACCCCCACAACGACAATCACCTGAGAAAAGTCTTTCCACTTCACCTTCCCCTGTGGCTTCTCATTTATCCCAGGGGTACCCCTATGATCTATCAAGTCTTTCTGTTTCAGAAGTGGGAGAATGCCTCAAAAAGCTTAACCTGGGAGAGCACGTCAAAGCTTTTGAAAAACAAACCGTTGATGGGAGTCTTCTGAAGAATCTAAGTGAACAAGAACTGATAGACCTTGGAGTAACTAAATTATTTCAAAGGAATAAACTTCTTCTTTTTATACAGGGATGGAGGCCTAAAATGAATTAACTACTAATTGCTCCTCTTTTCACTGAGTAGCTCAAGCACAAAGCAGAATGCAGCTTGTTATTAAGAACCCTTGAAATATATTCTAAGCGACATTTGTTTATCATTGTACAAGAAATACAGATATCTTATTAGTTTCTAGTTTGTAGAATCGCCGAGTATTTCACAGGTTGTGCCGTATTGTGACGAACCCATAGAGTATCGCGTCAACATACAAACAAGGAGTAAAAATACTCAGCGATACTACTGGCCGAAACGCTTGATAAGTTATAGATTACCCAAATGCTATAATGTCTTCCAATTTTTAGTCCTTTTAAAATACGCATGGAAGCGTAGCCAATCTGTCAAACAGGTTTTTTTTTGCAGAAAACCAACTTTTCAATCAACAGTACAATATCGTGAGGTATTTGAACTCAAATCGCTAGTTACTTCTGCTCTTCCAAATGCAGTTGGTTAATATGATAGGTTATAAATTGGTATTCTCGCACTTATCTTAAAAACTCGTAGCTTCTAAAGCCAGCATGAGATGTAAATATCTTTATACTGAAGAGGAATTATTAGAGAACATGGTGAATATAACACCAAAGAACTATAGGAATTGGTATCTAATTTCTGGTTCATATAAATCATTAAGGCCGAGTGTAACATTTATTTTGTTCACTTTGTTTTCAATGGAAATTGATTTTGTGTTCATAATAGGAGTCAAGCTGAGTCAGAACAAGGAACTAGCTGAAAATGCAAAGAGGGCATCTCTGTGTTAAAACGCAGACAAAATTTCCATTTTAGTCCATATTTAGATCACAACACTTAGGCACAAGTTTATTACTTTAACTTTTGTCAAAAAAAAAATGAAATAGAAAATAGAAATCAGGAGATTAACAGATTACTATTGATATCATATCAATATGAAGATGACAACATAAGATCAGTTTTGTCTATTGTTAATAATTATTACTTCTTGATTCTGTAAAGTATTGTTGAAGTGTGACAAATAAATCACTTTGAAAGAAAAATCAGTGTTTAGGAGAATGGATGGGAAAAATGGGAAAATTGATGCCCTTAACAACATCATGACAGGACTAACTGTGAAAAAAAACACCAGCTGAACTCTATACCTCCAATGAGTCACCAAGACAGAATTTCTCCTTATGTCATCAATACAATATCATGCAGACAAGTGATGAGAATAAAGAATAATATTTATAAGTTGATCCAATACCAAATTCTCCAAACTAACATCACAAGAACTGTAGGGCAGACATTAAGGAGAATTAGTAATGAGATCTTGGGAGTTAAAGAGTTAACAATTGGAAGCTTCTCGCAACTTGCTGATATTGAGCTCACTGAAAAATTTTCTTTGCCAGCATTCCACTGCCCTGGAATCACATTTGACAAATTTTTTTATATTTGTGTCAGTTAGGTCCACAAGAGCCAATCATTCTTACAAACTTTATGTCAATCCTGAAAGAGTAAATAGTTACAAACATTCCTTTTTCATTTGCATGATCAGAATCTGGAGTAACTCACCAAGAGATTTCATGGAAGCCAACCTCCAGCTTTTTAATCCAAATTTAGGCATCATCTGTTACATCTTAATTGATTCAGAATATTTTAACTTGAGAAATTTTACTGGTGCTGTAATTAGAAATTTCATTTCTTTTTTCTTTTTTCTTTTCTTTTTTATAGGGAGTTTTTAAATAGTGTTTACCTCTCAACTTCCTCTAAAGATGCTTTTTAACTGAATCCTTACCTTTGCAATTTTAGCTAGCTGCATCTTGGATAAAGTTTGTTATAAAGTTTGTATGCTTACCACTGGGACAATGAGACAAATTCCACCTCAGTTAACTATACACTCCAGTTCAAAAAACCTTTAGGAGAAACAATGCTAACCATTGCATCTAGAATATGAAAGTTTATTTCAATTTCAACGAGCATCAAGTGTAGTTGCAAAATAAACATCACCATATGTTCATAGAGAATTGTTTAAATGCCATTGTATGATGATAATTTGTGCTATTTCAGTTGACTGCTAATTGGTCATGAGTATACCTCCATAATACATGTAGTATAGCTGAAGAGAAAGATTTTAAGAAAAATAGTGAAGGTATTGATTGTATGGCTATTGTCTACCACCCTAAACCTACTGATGTGCCCAACATGGTAGTATTTATCTCTGCCAACAAATACCACCCATTAGTATATACCACACAAGTGAATGGTGTTTTAAGCTTGCACTGATTGGCTAGTTCAGAAGTGATTAGCAAGTATTCTTCACCATCATGTTTCTAACCTTTTTTTTTAGCATGTTAACTAACTAACTTCTTTCATGGTTGCTGTGTGTTGTCTACTAAAACAGTAATGTCCAAGAAAGTGGTGGATAGTTAGCTCCAATTGTTATTTTAATGTATGACATGTATCAAAACACATGCCATATATTATGAAAATAATAAACACCTCTCATCTGTTTGATATAAATAAGAAAATCAACTCTCTTGAAAAGTGCATGCACTTCACTGCTGCAGTCAATAAAAGCCTCACCTCTATCATAATTCCACACTTTCAAGAAGTACCCAATTCAAAGAAGATGGGCAAAAAAAATACTTTTCTTTCGCTGTTTCTGGAAATGAATTGCCCCCTTGGATGGAATATTGGTCCATTGCAGGTTACCCCTGAGCAGTTTATCAGGTGTGACTGACAGTTTTGCAGGTACAAGCCAATCAAACTCCTTCATGGAGATAGTTACTGTGACAATTGAGTGGTTGCCCAGAACACAACACAACACCGTAACTGTTGGGCCCCAGGACCTCCCACATTTGCAACAGTGAACATAGCCTAAATTTCCCAAAATCAGATATGAATTGCCACACATTTCATGCATAACCCTACATCCCAACAACATAAGAATAGTAAGGTTGTCATGGTTATATTCCCAAAGATACCTTCGGAGCCATCATCTTCACTAACCTCTCTCTGTCAAGGGACTAATTACATTGATCTAGTGCAGATAAAGTAAATAAAGTGAAATAAGATGAATAAAATTTCTTGATGATTTACTAGTTTAGTCATGGCAATAAAATCAATAAATTTCAATTAAAGAAAAACATTTAACGCAACATTTAGCAGAAGATTAACTCTCAAGAGGGACTGGCTTCTAATTTATCCAAATAGTATCACCCTCGAATCAAACGTAAAGGTCAGGAGAATAAAGAAAATGATCACCTATTTGAGAAGCTCCTGATTGTCAAACAAATTCTCATTTTCACCACCATGGAAAAAGGAGAGAACAGTGTGGAGAATATAAATGTTGATGCTGGGCCTAAGGTTTAGAAGGTTAAAGAAAGTTGCACACATTTGGTCAAAAGTGTGGGACAACGAGAACTTACATAAGATCTTCTTTATTTTGTGACTGAGCTCCACATTCACAATTTTTCTCATTGTATGAAAGACATTTACTTAAAAAGCAATTCTAATGTCATTTCAGTGTCATAAATGATCTTTTCAAGTTGCATGCAAATTAAATACTAGCCCTGCAATGTGACTAGGTACACTTTATCAAATCTTGAGAATCTGTTGCCTTAAGATTTTAACATGCAAGCCTTTGTATAATTACCTAAAGAAACGTCTTGAGCGAGACGAAAAGCTCTTAGCAGAGAAACTTCACCCTCCATCTTGAATCAGTCAGTGTTGAGCCTGAAGGTACGCCCGAGGAGCACTAGTGACGAGTTTCAGAGTCGGGTGATTATCGGAAATTGTCGGCTATTCCATTATGGCGGACTATTTTAATAACACTGATTGCGACTTACCAACGGTCAAGCGACGTGATTGAACCAGAAATGAACATTATTAGATGCTTTACATTTGAAGAATGCATTTTCGAGTTTAAATCAAGGAAATGTCGCAAATTTTGTGTGGCTCTTTCCTTCACCCTCGTCGATCTTAAGTTTCTTGTTCAGCAGACGTTTAGCTTAACAATGTAGCCGCCAAGACCAACGCTTGCAAAGGTAAACAAAACTTGTGAATAGTATCGCCACTATAATGCCCTTGTCATAGTGCTACTGGTTAGAAAGATCCTCAAGATGAAGTTTCTATTGTCTTGTACCTCTAGCCGGTAGGATCTGAAGGTGCTTATAAAATACTACCGGCGAGAGGTACAGCTTGCATACTTAGTCGACTTTGCCCAGTTTTTATTACGGTTTGCTCCACATCTGACTTTTCTGCACTCCAAACTAGTCTTACACTCATAGAAATCACTTTTTACAGGAGTACGTTTACATTTATTTTTTTATCTGGTCTTGTACCTCTAGCTGGTAGGAGCTCAAGAGGCTTATAAAATACAACTGGCTAGAGGTACAGCTTGCATATTTAGTCGACTTTGCCCAATTTTTATGATGGTTTGCTTCAAATTTTACTTTGCTTTACTCCAAATTAGTCTTACACTCCTTCGAATTTCTTTTTTCAAGAATACATATACATCTATTTAGTTCTGTTTGGTCTTGTGCCTCTACTGTGTAGGATCTTAAAAGGCTTATAAAATACTACCAACTAGAGATACAGCTTGCTTACTTAGGCGACTTTGCCCAATTTTTATCATGGTTTGCTCAGCATTTTTCTTTTCTGCACTCCAATGAAGAAATGTAAATGTCTTGTACCTCTTGTATTTCCATGACGTGAAGTGGAGTGGTTTCCAGCTTATCGAGTGTTCTCCCAACCTCCCAAGTGTTTACATCAGGCTTTGTAAACACAGAAACCATTTAACATTTCTTTTATAAAATAACTAATGAAAGAGCCTCTTCTTGCAACAAAGAAAAGCAACGTGCTTGTTGTTGTTGTTCATTTGGCTTTTCAGCCGTTTCTTGAATACTGGGAAAATTAAACTCCAAAGAAAAATTAGGAAAATCTTCTTCTTCCATTACTGTACTCAAAACAAACTTAAAGAAACTGAGTTACTGCTAAATAAATAGCAGGGAGAACTCCGCAAGAAGATTCAGTATGAAAACCGTGTTTACATACGCTCATGTAAAATGGTTTTATGGCTAATCAGAGCACGCGTACTATTTGAATTATTTTATAAATTGTAATCTTACACTCCTTGGAATCATTTTTTTTTAAGAATACTTCTAATTTTTTTTTCATTTGGTCTCGTACCTCTGGCTGGTAGGATCTCAGGAGGCTTAGAAAAGGCTACCAGCTCGAGGTATAGTTTGCATATTTAGTCAACTTTGTCCAATTTTCACTGCAGTTTGCTCCACATTTTACTTTTCAGCTGAAACTAAAGCAGGCATTATTAGGCAATAAGCAAAGGGTTTCTAGTTGGTGTTCAATTAAGAAAGGTTTGATTTCTTTTTAATAATAACAATTTTCATTAAAAAATACAATAAATAACACAGGCACAGGTAAATTTCATTTATTTAGTTGTATAAATTATATATATATCTAACTGCAGACAGTACTGTTTCGGCCTTCTGGGCCTCATCAGTGCAGTGCTCATGCCAGAATGGAGGTAAGGCCATATAGCCACCCCAAGAGATCTCACACATGTGGGATCATCTAAGCCATGCCAGAGTGCTCAAACTAGATAAACTAGTGTTTATATATATATATATATGTATGTATATGTATACATATATATGGTTTTCATACAGCCATACATGCTGTTAAATATCATTGAAAATACATAAGGAAAATGTTAATTTGGTGAATTAAAATCATGTTATCCTATGACTACCTGAGGATGACTTAGTTTTAGTATATCAGTCAATTGTTGGCATTGTCAACAGTACTTCTAATCAAACACAAATATCATGAAAATTGAGACTGTTCCTTTCTAGGAAATTCCACACACACTTATGCAGAGTAAATCTGGTTGACATGTTCAAGTCTAAAATGAATTTTAAGTCAAATTCATCTAAAACTGTTTTGAATTGTATTGAAATAAATCCACAATCAAAGAAAATAAAAATCAGACTAGTTTAAAATTTATTTACTTGAAATTCATTTAAAACACAATAATGTTAATGATTTCAAGCTTAATTCACATACAGAAGCTGCCCCTCTGGCTGGTAGTGTTTTCTGAGTAATGTAAGATCCTACTAGCCACATGAACAAGACTGCAGAGCATGAAAATAATTATACATATGGAGTGACTCCACAATGGTATAAGACTAACATGGAATGTAGAAAGTTTTTTCCATAAATCAAAAGGTAAATGAAATGAGTTAAATTCTCCTTAAATGCACAAAGTATCTCTAGCGGTAGTATTTTCTAAGCCACCAGAGATCCTACTGGCTTGAGGTACACAACCAAGGAAAAAGAAGATATTCTTGAAAGAAGTGATTTCAATGTACTGTAAGACTAAATGGAATGCTCAAAAGTAAAATTGAAAGCAAACTGCAGTAATGAAAATTGGGCTAAGTGATTAAATATGTAAGCTGTACCTCTAGTTTTTTTTTGAGCCTCCTAAGGATTCCTACCAGCTAGAGGTATCAAATAACAAAAATAACTGTAAATGTATTCTTGAAAAAAGTGATTCCAAGGAGTGTAAGTTTAAGTTGAAGCACAGAAAAGTCAATGTGGATCAAACTATAGCAAACTCTGGGCACACTTCATTCGGAGCCTCACTCTGTCGTGTCCTGCACCTTTCGTCTCTTGTTCTTTTGACCTTGTCAAAAGTATTTCTTCTTCCCAGTGTTATTTCAGCATCATGATCATGGTGAAAGCAATTAAATAAATAAATAAGTAATTGAAATATGCAAGCTGTACCTCTAGCTGGTAGTAAGCTCTTTCAGATCCTACCAGCTAGAGGTACAAGACCAAATAAAAGTATATATATAGGAATGTATTCTTGAAAAAGTGATTCAAAGGAGCATAAGACTAATTTGGAGCACAGAAAAAGTAAAATGTAAAGCAAACCATCATAAAAATTGGGCAAAGTCGACTAAATATGCAAGCTGTACCTCTAGCCGGTTGTATTTTATAAGCCTCTTGATCTCCTACTAGCTAGAGGTACAAGACCAGATAAAAAAAAGAAATGTAAATGCACTCCTGTAAAAAGTGATTCCAGGGAGTATAAGACTAATTTGGAGTGCAGAAAAGTCAGATGTGGAGCAAACCGTGATAAAAATTGGGCAAAGTCGTCTAAGTATGCAGGCTGTACCTCTAGCCAGTTGTATTAATTTTTCTAAGCCCCTTCAGATCCTACCAGCTAGAGGTAAAAGACCAAATAACAAAATAAATGTAAACGTACTCCTGTAAAAAGTGATTCCTAAGAGTGTAAGACAAATTTGGAGTGCAGAAAAGTCAGATGTGGAGCAAACTGCAGTAAAAATTGGGCAGAGTCGACTAAGTATACAAGCTGTACCTCAAGCCGGTAGTATTTTATAAGCACCTTCAGATCCTACCGGCTAAAGGTACAAGACAATAGAAACTTCATCTTGGAGATCTTTCTAATCAGTAGCACTATGACAAGGGAATTATAGTGGCAATACTATTCATTAGTTTTGTTTGGAATGTGGCGGACCAAGGTTCATCCCGATAGAAATTTAACTCAAGGAAAATCGAAAAGAGATTCTACCGAAGAGTTCAGAGTCACTTTAAAAGTGAGAAAGAATTTCAGGTGGCGCCGAACACTCTTTCCCTCACCGCCCCCTTACCCCCATCCCCTCCTCCCCACTACCCCCACCCCTCCCCCCTACCCCCTTACCCCCTCCGTCCTTACCCCCTTACCCCCCTCCCCCTTGCTCCCTCCCCCCTTACCCCCTTTCCCTTACCCCCACCCCCTCCCCCTCTGTGCATCAGCCAAGCTTGATAAGCTTACTTATCCTTTTTTTCATCCTTTTTTGGAATAAATTAAATCAATACAAAATGAAAGATGAAGGACTGGGAATTAAGCTTCCAAAAAATTGAATTTTAATGTGTAAGCTAGATTTAAGGAAGTAATCTTTCAATCATGACATGATATGTTACAGCGCATCTCGACCTATACTTCTAGTTAAAAGCTGAAACGATTATTTCGTTTATCAGTGTTTCATACGGCTCATCATGTGCAAGATCATCCCGCAATGACAAGGACTGTGTATTTACAAACACCTACCCACCTGAAAAGTCTTTACATTTATCGGAGAAAGTAAACAGACCTTGACACCTAGTTTTAAACATGGCCCGCCGTAAAGAAGGTAAGAATTGTTTTAATTGACAAACACGAGAACTTGAAATCAGAAAAATACTTAGAAGGGCCAAGTAATGCTTCTATTTCTCTATTTACAGCTGCCCTTCACAAGCCAGATTCATTGGAGGAAACTCTGGCCAACTTCATAATTCGATATCAGCCTCCGTACATTGCTCAAGTGTTGGAGGGAGTCGATAATGGAGTTTTTTCCGTATCAGTGAACGAATTGTTGACAGTACACAAAACCGTGCAGCTGAGGCGAATCCGAATGAGAGATTCAAAAGGCAAGCACTATTTCCTGCCCGTTGACAACTCGGCGCGCGTTGAAATTGTGCCTAGGACTCGTACACGCCTTGCTAAAGACTTCGATCCTCATCTGATCCGCACAGCTAGGTTTCTTCGCGTCTTGAGAGATGTTCCTGAGCTGAAACTCGACGATGGAGATATTTTAGAACCCATTTTTTTCGAATCTACGAGGAGCACTGAAGCGGAAACTTTAAAATGCAAAATACTTCGTGAACCAGGGAAGGAAATTAGGCTTCCACTTCACTGGGGAGTACCTCTTGAGTTATTACACGACTTTGACCCAAGAAGCTACACTCTAAGATATGTAGCAGATAATATTGCTTTTCCAGTGGCTGTGAGATTTGTTGAGAACGTGGTATCCTACTCTGATGTTGTAGCAACCTTAAGAGGGGAATTTTATTTCGAAGAAGTTGTCGAGGAGACCATTGTTATCGTAACTACAAAAGTAAACCAGGATCAGTTAACGATTCTAAAACTCCCCCTTGATCTGCCGCTGACCTTACATCCTATCAGAAAGCTTAATTGCGATTCAAAATACATTGTTCGATATTGGCAATATCTACGGGAAGAGTTGGATAGGCTTGAAAACCAGATGACAACTGCTGATAATGATCTTCTTTCCTCGAGTCGTTTTGAAAATATGGGGCGAGTTGTACGGCTTTATAAGGAAAGTGAAGATTACCTAAAGGGAATGAAAAAATTCCAGCCAGTTAAAAAGGCTTCAGACGAAGGCGAGGTCGTTCCAAAGAATCTTTGTGAAGATTTCTACGAGCCAATGATGCCCTCCCTGGTACGCAAGCAAGAGGAATGCAGGCTGTTTCAAGAGGAGGTTGAACCGAATTACGAAGCTATGGAGCCCTGCATCTCAGGCAAACACGACGAGTACGCTACGGTTTTCGAGGGGGCCATCAACAATTACGAAACAGTAGAGCCCTTATCTTCCTCCGTTCCGTATTCGAGTGCAAAGAGTCGACAGAGCTTAAACAGTAAAAGCGCTCAGAGCCTCCGAGAGGAACCTTTCTATTGCTCGCTGACTTCCATTTTTCATGGAACCTCACCCTTAGAAAGACCATCACATGTGTATGTGAAGCTGGAACAAAAATCGTTCACGAAGTCGCCAAGAAAAACAAAATCTTAAAAGGTCAATAAGCGAAAAAAGCTAAGATATGTATTTTCGCTAATTTCAAATCATGGGAAAAAGGTGTGTGTCAGAAAATTATAATTTGTGCATGAATAAAACTCACATCAAACCAGTAGTTTGGGTTTTTTAAAAAGGAAGTGTACAAATTTCAGAAATTTTGCTTTTTCATGTGGTTTCCCAAGCATTGAATTTTTAACATTTCTATTTTGTTTATGTATTTGTATGGAGAGATTTCTGGACTAAAATAAACACACCAATCCCTCGTAAATATAATCCGGCGCCACCGCATTTTATCTCAAATATGTATAACATTGTATAAATAAAGCCCATATGGAATTTCCTTCTTTTCTAAGCGTACCGATCGAATTTTAGTGCAAGTAAACAGTGTTAATGACCTTAGCTCTCATTTGCTCATCTATTCCTCCTATCCCTCTTTACTATATAGCTGGCAGCGCCAGTTTGTAATATGAAGCGAATCTTGTATTCTAATTGGCTACCCGAGCGGGCAAGACGGGCTCATTTTGCCCACTCGGGATTGTCCACTTTGATCCCGCGCAAAAAAAAAATTTGCTTGGAGAGGACTTGCAAAATTCGTAATCTTTGAACCGGCCATGCAGTGGAAAAAAGCGACCGCGGACAGTCAAAGAAAAAAGAAATGACTCTCGTGGGTTTATTGTCCTACAAACACAGTTGACATTCCCACCCGGCTTTCATAATGATCAAGTCATTCTTGATTCTTAATAATGCGAAATCGTTTTGCTAAATGAGAAATCCTTTATCGACCAAGCTTGTTCGGTAAAGTGAGCTGGATATTTGCCTCGTTGTTTCTTTTCTCCATTTTTATGGACCTCGACTTTGTCTCAGTCTATAAAAACGCAAAAAAGAAAACTCAGCCAATATCCAGCCATCTTGACCTCACGCTTGGTCAGTAACGCATGTGTATTAGGTGCTGTGCATGTGCGAAGCCTATTATATTCAAAGTGATAATAATGATGATGATGATGATAAAAATACATTTGTATATTTAGATAAGCCCAGCTTAACAAAAGATGCAGATTGGAAATAAATATAAATAAATAAGATAAATAAATAAGATTTATTAGGAAAAGTGATAAAGAGTAGGTTTAGATGGAATTAGATTTAGTATTTATACAGATTTGTGTATTTCAAGAGGGAGGGATTTAGGATCACCCAGATAGCACCGAATTAACGGATGGATGATTCCTATATTTACTTCGAACATTAGGCTAAAGAATCTCGTCATTTAGACGAAAGCTGTTGTTATTCATCTAATTTAAGGGCGTAAGCTTCTGAAGGAAGTGTGGTGCTGCGTCGATGGGAGAGTATAACAAGGTCATAAAGTATTATCGACTGAGTTGAGAACGTGAATAGGCCACTGCAAAGAGTTTTGTTTTAAAGCTGACGTTTCGACGTCGGAGTTGTGAGCCCTTTGTTCTAAAGAAGGGCTAACACGCGAACGTCAGCTTTGAAACTCTAATTACGGTGGCCAATTTACGTTAGCAACTCAGTTAATAATAATTAATTACCTTGTTATATTCAACTAGGGCAGTGACAAGAAAGCTATTTGCCTGTCATGTAAGCCAGGTTTTACAAAACTAAATTCCTATCAGAGTCGAATCTTCGACAAGTACCCTAATAGCAGTGCAAGAAAAATGATGCCTATGTGAAAGAACATGCTGGAAAATCACATGGCATGTCCTTTATAGGAAATGAGGATTCCTCCTATCAATTATTTGATTTCATTGTGATATCTTTTGTTTAAAATCATGTAAAATCATAAAATTGGCCTTGAAGTTATATGTTCGTCCATGTCAAACTTCAATTTGTGGTTTAAATTCGTTTACAAATATTTTTTATTTTCAGTTTTTTTTTTCTTGCGAACAACTTTATAATTAGGGGCTTCCAAATGATGCAGGCATCACTGACTGCTTGTCATTCCTCTACGTTATAAAGCAACATATTAAATGTGTATGTGGGCAGTTAAGAATTAGAAATAAAGTTTTCCTCAAATTAAAGCAAACGTTTTTTATTATCCCTTGTGTTTTTCATCGAGGAAGTGATGGAGAAGACTTAGTGTGTGGTTTGTCATCCTTTGTAGCCTTGTGGCCTCGGAGGAAGTTATTACAAGAACTTTCTACACAGTTAAATTAATCACAGTTTCGTTCAGCTTTTCGTCACCTTCATGTGACTCGCTAGTATTAATATTCGTGTGGAATGATTGAGCGCCAAAATACAAGATTAAGCGTACTTTGTTTTCACTTCAAGAGAAAACCCAGCAAAGTGTATCAATGAAATCTAGATACTGAATAGCGTCAGGAATTTCAAATATTGAAACTTCTTAATTCATTTGCAGTCTCAAAAATGTTTTCGCTATGCGATGGCTTTACAAGGCAACAAGGAGCAAAATTCATTACCGAGAGATTTATATCAGATACGAATCAGTCTCAGAAAAGTTGAACGAAATTACGAAATGAAAACCTGAAAATTTCCATGCCAGTGATGAACTAATCGTAAGCAAAAAGCGGAAGCTCTCTTCGGTGCGTTCGATTTTAAAGCCATGTATATCTTAATTCTTAACATATTTTATTGAACATTTATAGATCCTTAGAAGTTTAAGGGTACATGTTTTAATCTTACTTGAGCAACTGCAAACCCTTGTATCAAATTGCATATCTAATTATGTCTCTCAATTGTTTTTCCAAAATATAGCCAGTTTCATTCAAACAAAAAAAAATCTCAGTTGGACTTCGTGGAGTCCACCAATAAAACAAGTGCTAATTAGGGTACCTACAACAGATGTTTCATAATTTCTTCTTGGACAATTTGAACGTTAAGCGGCAATGCGAACGGCGGCTAGTCAAGGTCAATCGTTTATCGATCGATCAATTATTGTGAGAAATATTCCAAGATCGAATGCAGAAGAGACAAAACACAGCTTTTTGACCTCTTCAATGTCCCCGGGCCATAAATAACTACACTGAATAGTTTTCATGACTTGACGATTTTTCTAGAATCTCTGTGTTTTACACATAACTCCCGCTCACATGCAAAGCCAGCTTGATAGCATTCTGGAAGAGGAGGATGCTGAGGTGTTGCGGAGTGCATTCGATTCAACCAAGGTGAGAAAAACATTGTTTTTTAACCCAAGTTTCTGAACGATAAACTTTGTAAGTGAAATGACACGTATGCTTTTTTCGACTACGACTGAAACACCTGCCAACCTGTCCTGGGAAACAATCTCCACTGCGAGCGCCTTTCCTGAATAATTTTCGGTTTGTGATTGATGGAGAACTCGAGAAAATATTTCTCGTTGCTCTGTAAATGATCTAGCCTTGGGCGCAAAGCCTTTCTTTTTTTAGGCTTATCTAAAGTATAGTTTGTTTAAGACTTAACGTAAGCGTTGCTGGAATTAATAGAGACCAGTTCGGGGACACTTTGATAATATGAAGAAACCCCGCTGGAGAACTCTTTGTTCCGTTGACATTGCTTTTTTAAAGCGGACTTTTAAAATTACCCCATAGTTTACAGAAGAGCTCCATATGACTTCAGTTTCATTTAAAATACTAGCAGAGTGTCCTTGCGATCTTAAACACGCAAAAATTCAGTGAATAGAACATTTATTTCTGTATAGAAATGTTTGCTGTATTAGGACGGTTACTTGTCACGGATTGCTGAAGTGCGCCTGTCACGAAACTATTGCGTGACCGTGTGTCTATAAGAAGCATTCTTCTTAGGGTAAATATAACTTTTTGCTGCAAGGCAGCATTTGTTTTCTTACCGAATTAGATAAGGAGATTTCATTTTTTCCAAAAGCTCACTTTGAGAAGGGATGGCTAATTGCCTTAGGCAACTGAGATTTGTAATTGAAACTTTGTTTGAAAACAAATCAGCTGCCCTCTCCCGAGGTCTGACGTCCGATCAAAGTACCCCCTGCTAAGTCAACATCATTAAACTGCATCCAAAGGACAGACGAATAGAAAATTTCCAATGGAACCTGCTATGTTTTACTGAAGTATTCAGAATACTCGAACGATAGTAATAACAAAAACTTTGCCCCAGGAATCTATTAAAACAAATTTAAGTTCTCCTCTGAGTAAAGTGGTTTAGTGGGTCTAGGGATAACATAATTTTACTTAGCTAAGTAAATTTAAGCTTTCTGCACTGATATATTTCTTACAACTCTAGCCCTGAGAATTTGTGGATAGATAAGGAAAATCTCCTATTTGATGTCCTTCTTTTGATAACTCAAGGAGAAAGATACTTTTGGTCGGGTGTGGGAGTGAGACATGGTTTATTGCCTTTGTCAGGTAGCTGAGGTGTAAGTGTATAGAAAGGCCAGGTGTTGTACCTTTTTTATCCTAATCAAGTAGAATTGCAGCCACCTTAAAATCGGGCAAATGAATCGAAGAGAAAAGAGATAGCCAAACCAAACTGATAAGGTAAAGCTGAACTTTACGAAGTCAATCCTTCTTAGCCTCGAGTGAGGCGAGAATGGTGCTACCGTCTAATACTTCTGTTGACATACTCCCAATCTTTAGCTCATATCAAACAACGCAATTACATGCATACCGGGCTCAAATATAATGGATCTGAATGAGCAATGACTTTTTCTTTGGCAGGATGATAATTCAAAATAGAGGGATCTGTGTAACGCTCTCGTTCAATCATGCCAAAAATTGATGATATTTCCTGTTTACAGAAAATTTACGTCATCGATATGAAACAGTAATCTTTACATTAGTTTGCTGCCCACATTTCAAGGCAACGGCTGTAAAAATATTCATCAATCTTGTGGAGCATTTAACATGAAGGATAATCCACTCAGTAAGGTGGAGATTATGGCTTATGGAAGATTAGAATCCACTTAGGGAGCTTAAGATTATAAACCAAGAATCGAAATGTGATATGTCACCTTTAAAGTACACCGTTCTTTTGTCTCTAGTGATTATCAAGAATGTCACATGCTGTTTTTATACCTGATTTTTTTTTTTAAATCAGTTGTTCTCTAACTGACATCAACCTTTCGCTTAGCTTAAGTTTTATCATTTACTAACTTGATGCACAGCGAAATCACTTTTAAAAATTTAGAAGGAGAACACCATCCAGGCCAATTAAGGCGCTGGACTGTGCACTCAGGTAAGATGAATTTTTTTTTCCTCACAGCACACCTTCAGCTGAGTGAACCAGATTAAGTGAGATATTAAAATTAAAAAAATTTATCATATTTATGTAGTACCGAGGTTTAGTCACGACATTTTGAAACATTGCTATAGACATTCTTAGGAATCATGGCAAACTTTGTTATTTGAACATGACCCTTCGTTGTCTTCTTTCAGTTTATAGCCAGTTTGCTCTCCAATTCTCCCTTAACAAGAAAGCAGCACTGAGATATTAATCTTTTACAGGAATTAACAGCTTACCGCCATAACGGATTTGATTCGTGACGAATTCTCAACAAAAATGCCTTTAAAGAACACGCCGTTTATTTGCCTTCAACACAGCTTTTCTTTACCTGATTAAGTACGTGCAGACCAACGTGCCTGTCTGTGGTTTCTCTGCAGCTCTCGCTCATCCTATCCTTCCGAAACTAACATGCTTTCTATAGATAATTCTGTTTGATGTGGCAGATGTGACGAAGTGAGTGTCTCCCCACATATTTCCTCCAGTGTTCCTCTACGTAAAAACAATGTCTTTGAGATTTGATAACAGCTAACCACGCAGTTCAACGTCTTATTTGATTGTCCACGGTTGGTCCTTGCCACATTCTGCATTTTCTAAGTTGTTCATTTACAACTACTTTATCTGTTCAGAACAACGCTTGAAATAGAACTTACCTGATACACAGGTGATTTGTTTTACTGTTAACCGTTATCAAAAATACGTAAACCTTAGTGAAAAAACTTGAGCTTGTGTTATCTTAATTTTCTGTCTGAGTTTTCTTGTGAATGTTGTGCGCGACATTAACAATCATTGCAGTGGTCCGTTGTAAAAAAATTCAACCAGTTTGGCCGAGAGATTTCCACTCAAGTTGTTTCAGTACAAGTTTCAATGCTTCATTCATGTTTCAATATTGCACAATTGAGTTTTATTTTCAGAAGACGCCCACGCCTGTCGCTCAGTGCTGTGTGTACTCAAACATGACCTTTTTAGTTGACGAGTTTAAGAATTTTATGAATTTCAACTATTTGGGTAGTTTTTTTCCGGCCCTATCAAAAATATCACCGCCATTTACTAATAATACTGTTTCACACGTAATTCGTGTTGAGCGCTCCTAAATGTCTGGTAATAGCTTATTTTGTCAAACAGACAAAAAAATGTATCTTGACTTCTGAATATTGTTTTAAATTAATCAAGTTGATAATGTACTTCAGTTGGCTTGCACATCAGTCTGGCGTCTAATCAATAAACACGAACTAAATAAGGGAACTCTTGTTTACTTTTGCGGCGAAGATAAAAATTAGCCGTGACTTGAGAGGAAATGAGGGCAGTTAGAAGTGTGTTTTTGTTTTGAAATAGAGCTTAAGATTAGGAATTTTAAGGAGGATCTACGTAAAAAAGGTCACGTCATGTAATCGGGGTACAAGTATCAACTCCTCCTTCAATTGTCGATGAAAGTACAAGTATTTCATATCTAACACACGTACGGTGCACACGGCAACTACTATTCGAAGCGCTTCTGCGTTCCATGTTTAACAAAGCAATTCATCGTCAAAGGACTTCACTGTAGTGGAACAGATTTACAGGGGACAATATAAGGTATTTCAATATACAACTGTTTCGATGTAATATTATTTATCCTTGCGGCTTTGGCATTGAAAGCCACTCCATTAGTTACGTCGTGGAATTTTGATGCAGTAACGGAGGTTTGTTGTTTAAATGAAAGCTTTGCATACTTTTCTTTTTTAATTATCCAACGTTATCCTTTGTTTGTTCTTTAAGTTTTTACATCACCAAGCTTTGAACTGTATCACTTCTCTTAAAACTAAATGAGCACCTATTGAGTCACGGCCTTCTTCAGAAGTTCTCAATGGGTTAGTACTTTATTCCATGTCACTCATTTGAATTATGTTAGATATGAGTTAACAGAATACCAGACAGTCTTTAATTTTTGGCCAAAATGTAACGCAGGTTTGGTTGCACTTTCGTAGCCATGTTCAAAGATCGCGTGTTCCTACGATAAATGTGACTTCCTGTATTTGTCTACACCACCTAATTGGCGTAATATTCGATTCTATTTTTATTTCAACGTTATTAAACCGATCAACAACCAACCGCTGTAACATTGAATTCTTAAGATATCCACTCTAATTCTAAGATATTTCTCACCCCATCGATGACAATCTGCAATTAGCCTGAGTTTATTGAGGCCAAGAGGGAGAAGATAGCAAAAACATCTTGCATTTTGTCAAGTTTTTTTTTTTTTTTTTTTTTTGACTCATGAAACCGCGATATTTCCTCCCGACAAATCGTACTGTTTCAATCTTCATCAAGATTTTTTTTTTTTGCAAGGTGCTTTGTCCGGCAGATTATGTAAATGTATGATAACCCTAAGGACCGTGAACAAGTAGGTCTGTTGAGTTGAGTTTTTTTCATCTTGTTCTTCTTCTTTTGTTTGAAGAACCGGTGTACATGTTGAAAAGTCTCTTATCTGTAATTGACAACAACCTCATTAGTGACAACTGCTGTTTTTATTGCCTCCTATTATCTACGCTAATGTTCGCGAGTGCTCGTTTCTGATATCTGATTTATTTGCCCACATTCATACCGCGTTTTTAGTTTCCAGTTTTGAAACTGCTTAGCTCAACGTAAACATGCAACTTCCTTCGAACGAAACCACGCAGATGACACGGTGTCAGCCAGATTTCAAAGGGTTTCCTACGTCAAACTAAGTTCGACACCAGTAAATCTCGAAGCAGAGACTGGAGGTCGAATTAAGGCAAAAATCACACGAACTTAGAAAGGATTAGTTTTCTAATCCTACGTTTACTCCCACTAAAGTTTAAATTCTGTTTCTTTGTTTCGCATATATGATGTCTCGCTCATTTAAGCTTCTTTTTAGCTCCAAACGACAGTGCAATTGTCATGTTATTCAGATTTTCAATTTCGTGTCATGTTTTGGTAGGAAAACGAATTAACCAGAGTACTTCAAGCAGTGATCGAAATGAGAAATCTTGTTATCATTTAGATACTGCTTGACAGACAAGAAGGAAGAAAGTAATTTACTTGGAATTCTTGCCTTTAAGTAAAACCAAATTCTCTGAAATCACGAGCCAACCGAGATTTATATGATCATCAGTTCGCAAAACTGATTGGCTTTGAGAGATTTTGGAGAGAAATCCCGAGATAAGTAATGATGTCAGTTCTTGTGGTTAAATACACCATACAGTTTACAAATCGTAATAAATTTCAAATATGTCATTTAGGCCTATGATGATGTTGATTAGGTCAGGAAAACATCCATAGGCTTGGGATAACCAATATACACGGGATAACCAAAGGTGGAGGACCTGTTGGGAATAAGTGGTTTTTTTGTTTACAAAGAATTCCACAATTTACTCGCCTATATCGCTTATAAAATTTTATTCGTAAGAATGTTATAAGAATTTGAAAAAAAAAAAAAAAAAAAAAAAAACGTAGCTGCGCATTCCTCTTAAGGAATTTCCAGTTTTACTGCTAGATGTTGTAGATTTTCGTACAGTTAACCAAACTGTCGGCCTCTTTATCAGCTAGTTCAGTGCATCATTGTATATCATGTCTCAATAAAATGGAAGCTTTACGACAGACAGCGGAAATCCGCTACGCTTTGGTCATCGCTGCTTCAAACAGACCAACCACATTGTTTCGTTTTTATGTTGGATATTTTTTCTTGACACTCTTCAAATTCACAGACAGCGCTTTGAGAGGATAGTTTAAAAATGGTTGAGTCTTTGTTTATTATATGAGTTCCGATTGTAATGGTGCCCAAAGTCCCAGCTCTTCAGAATTTTATGCCGGTGATATGTAAACCATTTCAAAAGCATCCACTTTTCGGACAAGTTCTTGAATCAAATTTAAGAATTCTATCAATTTTAAGTGGTTCTTCCCTAACAGCTTTGATTATTTTCAATAAGTAGGCATACCATGAGATAAACAAAGAAACATTTGAGTTAGTGTAAATAATAACACTCAAAAAATATCACTCAGAATCACATATTGTTTTACTATTATCACCAAACACAAGGTGTGTTTAATCCCGCCCGAGAAGAAAAATTGGCGCAAGGGAGCAAAAAGCTAGAATTTTTTTTATTCCTTGTTATTTTGTTTATCTCTTTATTATGTTTATCTCGTTATGCAGCTTTGTACTTACCTACCAAGCTGATTAAAACTTATCCTATCCTGAACATAATTTGGTTCCTCACATGTAGTAATGGCAATAACACGATTTCGAGCGCAATTTGGTTTTAATAGGCGCGAGTAAATTTTTTAAATACAACATAATTGTATGAGCCTGTATTAATAATTACATGAAAAATGCATTACAGAAAGTCAAGACAGGAGAAATTTTGACAGTGCATGCATACTATTTGTAGTTGCAATCGTGTTGCATGAGAACGCACTCGTTTTCAGCCATCCAGAAGCGTGTTAATTTTTTCCACGAATATTATTACCATCGTAAGCTTCCGTAATTTTACAACGTTTTGCATCAAATTCTTACAAAATTTACTACAAAATGTGGTTATGGTCGATTACCAGAGCGCCATTATTTAAGCGGATTTACGTAGGCCAAATAATTGACACGAAATGTCCCTTAGCTGTAAAAAGTATACTTAGTATCTATGCAATACAATTAGTTTCCGTCTTTATTTTAGTTACCGTTGTCGCTGTCGATCTAATTCTTGACTAATTATTCTTATTTATGGTGTAATTGATGTTGCATGGCTCAAAGGAACCAAATGTATTGTAGTTCGGCAAACATGACAACAATAACAACAACGACAACAAAACAGCAACAAGCAGACTAGAGTCACTTCGTCATTACAAAGCCGCTATTCAGGAGATGAAGCCTTCTAGCGCTGCGATAAAAATACCAGCAATGAGGTGCAGGACTATTGCGTTAGAAATAGTCACTTATCGGTTAATCTTAAGTCTTGATTGTGCGCAACCTTAAGAGAAATTAAAGAACATTTGCAATTTTTTTAATTCCAACGGGTACCGATTCAAAACTTTTATTAAATTCAAAGATTTACAAGTTAACCAAAGGTCTGTTTTCTTAAACCTATTTAAAAAAATTAGTTTATTAAGTTAATAGTTTATTATTAGAATTATGAAATTTCGGGCTAACATAGTTTTTCCCGCCGCAAAATGAATCATTTAAGAAATTTACATTTAAGATTCTTTGCTTAAGGTTTTCACCAAGACGTGGGGAGGAAAAACCTACGAGAAAGTGTTTGAAGGATCACTCTTAGTTGACAAATTGACAGAAAAATCACCAGAAAGGTTTCCAACTCGAGAAAAAGCGACAGAGCTTCTTCAGAGCGTCCTCAAAGAAGGAATCATTAAAAGCATTGGCAGATCTCGACTTTACGAGGACGGTTCACAGTTATTTTATTGGGGTGAAACTTCACAGACGCCGAGCAACATGGCGACTACTGCTAATTTAAGAACACAGGTATGAGTTACAATTGTAGTTTATAGACATCGTTTATATAATAAAATTTTCTTCCATTTTCATTTCAGTATCAGTGACAATTGAGAAATATAGAGATGAATTTTGACTGAAGATCTTTCTTTCTTTTTGCTTACATTTAAAACTTGATGTGTTTTCTATTTCCGTGTTTTTATCTTCTCTCTTGCTTAATTCAGAGAGTTTGGTCAGAATTACAAAAGTTTTTTTTTTAAAGAAGGATCGAGCTTCGTTAATTTTCGGTGAACTTCAAAGCGTCCGCCAAACGCTGAAAGGGGATTCTTGGGATAAACCGCTTTTACTGATGACATCAATTGGATTCTCACTGAAAATACATTGTTTAAACCAAGAAGGACTCCAGAAACACTTGGAATGTTTTCAAGTGTACAATGCCTTGAGTTTAGCCGAGTTCAGTCGTATCAATAGGATGTCACAATGTTTAAGTAGAGGAGCATGTGATACTGTCATAGAAACGCATGGCGGGAATAGAATCATCATTTACCAAAAATTCAGCTTAACTGTTGACACTTTAATTTGAAGAAGTAAGAGTTTTTTCCTGAAAGAAAATTTCACCAAACGAGCAACCATTTCTTCTCCACAGCGCCTCACCAAAACGCCCCAAGATGAAGCGAAGCCCGCATGGGTAACACCTAATTTGAAAAAAACGGGAAATCGACCAGGAACGTTGCCGTCCAGACGAATGGAAATTAACACAGCTTCACGCGTGGCGAAAAATGCAACTTCTGAAGGGGCAAATGAGGAGAAGAAGGTGAATGCCACAAAATCGCTCTCCAGAGGATTAGCTGCCCTCCTTGAAAGGGATCAAGCGTTTAGCTCCCAAAATGTTGAGGATGATAGGTGGGAAGACGAGAAAGAAAAGAAAGCAGACAACAGTGAAAATGCTAATTCAGGAAACGGTGAAAAAAACAACAGCAATGATCAACATAAACTAGAAAATTTTAAACTGCAAACCAAACATTCTTCCCTTCCGCGCACCATTTACAAGGCTCCACAAGTTCAACAGGTTCAAACTGGTTTGGTAACCATGCATAGGGCTCCACAAGTTCAAAAAATTCAAACCGGTTCTGTGAATGATGACATAGAATCCACTGAGCACCAAAATGGTGGGATTATCCCCATCAAAAGAGCCGTCCAAGAAGAAAAAGCTCAAGAAGTGAAAGCCGCCACACAGATGTTCGTGGCTAAAGCTCCAATAATTGTTCAGGGAAGGAAGAATGCACACATGTCCCATCAAGAGACAACAACTGATGACAAAACTAAGACCGAGAAAGTTGATGTAACTACCCCATCCATAAAGACATCGCCTTTTATAACTCCAAAAGGTGCTGGAGAAACTGCTACCTCAAGGGTCCGAAAAATCTCGCCCATCAAAATGGTAAATGGCTTCCATGATGAGGAAAAAATTGAGAGTCTTCCAACCAAGCAGTTGCCTTCTACAGGAACTGATTCTCAAGCACCAAAAGAAAAAGAAACTGTTGACTTTCTGAGGAAAGAAATTGAGCGAATCAAAGCTGAGCACCAACTGGAGATATCAAAATACCAAGAGAAAATAAACGAAATGAAGCAAGAATTTGAACAAGCGAAAGACATGACGCCTTCTGAGGGTGCAATGGAAAGTGAGGCTTCCTCTGACCTGTCCAGGTCCAGCTCAATGTCCAGTATATCCGCCCCCGCCCCACCTCCGCCACCACCTCCACCCCCAGCCCCTGGGTCTGCAAGTCCTCCCCCACCACCTCCCCCTGTTCCTGGCGCTTTTCCACCCCCTCCACCTCCTCCAATAGGACCTGGAGGCCATAGGCTAACAGGGGGGGTCAAGCCAAAGAAAGCTGTCGTCAAACCTGACGTGGAAATGAAACCGCTGTTTTGGACAAGGATTTTGATATCAGGTTGGTTTTAAGAAAAATGTGATATTACCACAGTTCTGCAATAAAGAAATAAACGATTGATCGGCAAACAGGTTTTATTTCCATTTAAATTTGCGAGTTTGAGCAAGTCTTGTACAACTTGGAGGATGAGAAAAAAAACTGCAATTCGCAAGACCCTATAAAAGTTACTTATTACCAAGATCAGACCGAATCAACTTGTTATGATGCAAACCACGACCTCCTTGTTCATGTTTTGTTTTTTCTTTTTTTCTAGATGAACAAGACGCTGGTGACGTGAACAATAATAAATCCAAGAAAAATATTTGGAAACATGTAAAAGAGATGGACTTCAATAGAAAAGAATTCCAAAAGTAGGTGATTTAGAAACGTCTCTGAATCCAAACTTTTAATCAGTGGCAAGGATAAAAGTACGAGTACAATTAACAACGGTTTATCAAGTATAATCCTATGGAAAATGCTAATCTTTTTTTATCTTGTAGGTTATTTGGGCGTAAAGTCAGCAAGATATCCAAAGGTGATCCACGACGGATCTCTCTCAAAGACGACAGCCATTTTGCACACTCTAAAGGACAGCAAGTAAGTGGTTCCCAACTCACTTCAACAACTTAATCAATTCTGCAGATATCTTTATTTAAATCAGATCAAAGTAGCCGACCATTTATTACAAGCACATCCCCAAATCGGAAAGAAAAAATACGTTCGCTATCATGAGAACGAGGATATTCCATTTTTATGCCAAAACATTCAAGCAACACGCTAGTCACGTCTAAAATGACCAAGAGATACGCAAAGTCTGAAATAACCTGAGTGAGGCTCTTTCTGTGAAAAGGCCAATTTGTCCGATGGAGCCGGTCTCTTAGTTTGTTTGTCTTTTGGTTGTAACGTGTATGTTCAGTTCAGTTACACGCGTCTTATCTAAGTTTTTTGTGCCTAGGCCGCCAAGCTACTTGATAATGGCCGATCACAGACGATTGGTATCATCATGAGCAGCCTGAGCTGTCAGTTGGAGGACATTAAAGAAGCAGTGTACAAAATGGACACCTCTGTCATCGACATGGATGGGTAAGGCTTATATTCCACGCGTTTTCTGTTGTTTCAAATCTTTACATTCAAAATAAACACTAAACTCGCACTCTTCGTAACTAATAATAATAATAATAATGACTTTATTACTGTGTCAATTACATCTAGCAGTGAGGAATCCCCAACACCAATAGGGGACACCTAAAAAGAACTATCTAAAATGAATAAAAAATCGAAAAAGAAACAGATAATAAATAACATAATTCTGAATGAAATTTACAAATGATATACAGAAAATTCCGTTAAGAAAAATAAAAATTATGTATTGCAAAGATTGCAGCCTCTACATCCATCTGAGGTGTTTCTGAAATCAAGCCTGCGTATCTGGGTCTTGAACTGCTTGAGACTGGCGGCCGATCTTACTTTATGTGATAACTTGCTCTAGAGTCTTAGGCCTAGATATCGATTAAATTTTTTCCGCATCTCTCTGCCGTAAACTGTAAGTGTGGCTTTGGTAAAAAACATGTTACAAATAGTCCAGGAGCACAAATTATGTTTAACCTTATACATTAAAATACACATGCCTTGTAGTCTCCTGTTATACAATGTTGGTAGCCTGGCTTTCTCTAATGATAATCTCCACTCTAACACTTCACCCCTGGCTGCCACACCAGCCATTAACTCACACCCCATGCCTAGCGTCTCAGTTTTAGACTCAAGGTGACAATTTTTTGAACCGAGGCGTTTCATAACGTGAACTTTTACATTGACGGTGTTGTACTCTGATATCCTTATCCTTTTTTTCTGTTCACAGACTAAAAGCGTTGTATGACATTCGCCCCAAGGCTGAAGAAATCGAGCTGATCACAAAATATCAGCAAGAGAATCCAAACAGTAAGCTTTTCTTCAGCGATACATTTTGACAATGTTTTCCATTTTGACAAAAAAGCAATTTCTTAACTTGAACCGATAACTGTCTCTAAGGTAGCATTTGCATTTCAGAGATGAAATTGCCTTTTTCATATGCGTTTTTTTGTTTTTTGTTTTAGTTCCCCTCGACAAACCAGAGGAATTCTTGTTTCAAATACATAAGATGGACCACTTTGCAGAGCGCCTCGAATGCTGGTTGTACAGGAATAAATTTACAGAGACCTTAACTGCCATTGGTGAGCTTATTTCTTGAAAGATTTGATCTTTATGAAGGACGTATAGAAACATGTATATACTGACAATATATGCATTTCCCTTTTATTAGATAGAAGATTATCCGCAATTTGCGAGGCCAGTAGTTCACTACGTACAAAGTAAGTCCCGCCCTCAGAATACGTTACATTGTTTTAACACCGGCGGCAAATGAACGAGTGAGCTAGTAACAGGTTATATTCTGTTAGCCTTAAAACGGTAATTTTATGTGCAAGTCACCGTCATGAAATTTCTCATTTTTCCCAACTTTTTTTTCCTTCTAACGACGCACCTTGTCATTGGTTTTAGTGAAGACATCTCATTCGTTCTGTCCTTAATCCTGACTCTGGGAAACTTCATGAATGGCGGAACGAACAGAGGACAGGCAGATGGATTCCAATTGAGTGTGCTGAACAAAATCAAAGATGTCAAAACACAGGTGAAAGGACATGAGTTGTGACAAATAGTTGTATTGAAAATAATGTCTTTTTTTCACCTAATCATGTCCTAACTAAATACCAATTCAATCAAGAAATTATAACAGACAGAACTGAAGTATTAGTTCTAAGACGTGTGAGAATTTCAATAAATGCAATTGAGAAAGTTCCACCCATTATATCTTCACTCTTTTACGACTTAAAAATTCCCCAAAACACTTTTCAATGTTAAGATTGCACGAAGATCATCTCAACGTTTTGATTCCTCTGCCTCACATCCTAAGACGTCAAACCAGCTCACAAAATGCTTAATGGCAATTTTATATGCGGATGACTGACTGTATTCGGTTTTTTTTTTTAGGACAATGGAACAAATCTTATGAAATACATCGCTCAACTTTATTGCGACAAGAAACACGGCGGCGAGACAGGGGATTATACTCTACCAGACCCCTACGCCATCCTCGCTGCTGCTCAGGTAAATTGGGTCGTTGTTGATGATGGAAGCAGCTGATTTGTAAATGCAAGCGTTTTAACCCAGTTTCTGCACCAAGATACATGCTTTTCGATTGTATTCTACTCTTCAGGTCTTCACACCCTTTTCCCCTGTCCATTTTATCTCCTGGTTTAAGAAAAGACACCGCTGTAAAAGTTGAATACTATGCACTCTAAAAAAGTATAATATATGGACCTGACTCTTCAATTTCCTGGTTTGTTTGAGATCGAGGTCCAAACTAGAACTTTGCAGACTAGGAAATTCAAAGTACGAACTAACTCAGTGATGGAAAGTTTCTTTATCTCTAAAAATTTCTCTTTCGCTTCCTCAGGTTTCGTTTAAGGATATCAAATCAGGTAACACAATGTTCTTTCAGTAGCTTTCATTTAAAACTACAGAAAATCCAGGCGAGTTCTTATCATTTCCTTTCGCTTTTTCTTAGAACTTGCAGAAGCTAAGATATCTCTAGCAACCTGTAAAGCCAAAGTAAGTAACTCATACTAAATTTATCTTAAGTTCATAGCTATTAATTCGTAGATGAATTTGTTGTGTCGAACATTGCATCATTATTATAAACTTGAAATCAAAGCTGTACGCAAAAGTAATTAAAGCTACAAAATTAACTGGGAGGATCGTCCCCGGTACTTTACAGGAATTGTTTGACTGGTGCCAGATTGCAAGCGTTTCTACATACGGCTTTTTTCTTTAGTCTTTTATGATGCCTATCCCTATGATGGCATCTGACTCTCTTATGCAACTTCTTAACACGAATTCCCTTAACTCTTTACATCCTGACATCAGTATGTAAGTTCGCCATACTGCTCTCTATATACATTTCCCATGGTACTGACAAGGACAATTTGTTTCACAATCGAGAGCTTCATGAGTTTGCGATCATTTCTACTATTCCCATGACCTTAGCGTCTGACCCAGGGGATAACACAGTTGGGACAAACTAGATGCTGATCACCCTGAATTAAGAGGTTCTTCCATTTGGTTATTTTCTTCCATTTTTTCAATCCATATCCTTTAAATTACAGTGATATTATCACGGATAGACGAACTTAGGATTTACTCCAAAACCTTATGACGGTTTCTAAGGAGATTTTTTTGTTTGCAGTCTGAGATGGTACTTGGAGGTGGCAATAATGTGCACCGCGAGCCGTTTGAAAGTTTTGTCAAAGAATATCTTCACACCGGTAAGAATAGAAACGAAAATAGATTTAACGACATCAGTAAAATGT